AGGAATGCATATATATTTTTATTATCTTCCCACTGAAATTATTATTAGCTGAATTGTACAGTTCACTAAACAACCCTCAGAATTTTCATCAAAATCACTCACTTAAGAAACAGAAAAATAGCCATTTCTCAGCTACTTTCTCAGCAAAATTCTACCACAGATTTAGAGGTAGGAGAAAAAATTTCTCTTGCTTCCAGCTGAGCTCTTATCTTCCCTTCAAAGTGATTCATAAACAAAATGTCCATTTTCTGTTTGAAAAGCATGTGGGAAAAGCTCTTCTAGAATCCACAGGGTGGCGCAAGACCTTTTCTGTTTGTGTGTGGACCATAAAGATTACATCTGCATTACATTATCTGCTACATTTTGTACATTACATTCAGCTAAGATGCTTAATCACACACATAGCAAAACAGAAGTGAAAAAAAGCAAAGGTCAGAGACATGCCACTTGGTTGCCTGGTGAGATTGATGGTACTAGTCCAGTATGTTGCACTTGGAACACATTCTCATTACCTCCCAGCTATCTGGCTCCAAAAATTCTTTTTTCTCTGTAGCTCGCAGGAACTCTTCCAAAGTCACTAGCCTGTCCTTGTTGATGTCAACCTATTTGAAGGAAAAAATTAAACTCAACCTAAATGATGGGTTTTGGTGGAGCTAATGTTTAATTTCATTATGCAAATATCTTCAAATATAACCATTTTATTTTTAAACTGTCCCATTTCAAGGGAGTGCCTGCAACATCTTCTGAAAACTTCTCTCACAAGCTTATACAGCTTAACAAAAATGGAAATAAAAAGTAAATCCTCACATTTTACTTCAAAATTCATTGACTTTATTGAAAACATTATTTGTGGTCACAGCCCCAACGCTAATAGTAGCATGCATGATTTTTTCTGAGAAAAATGTTATGTAGCTTTCCCGTAATAATTTTGTAACTGTGAGTCAGAGTAATCTCTACTGTTGGATGGGGAGGTTTTAAAACATCAAAAAAACCCCAACTCAATTGTGTCAGAATACTTTAAGGGGAAGGGAGGAAATGCTTCCCTTTATGACTAATAGAAGACCAGGCTTGCTTCATTCCTCAAGCTTAAGGAATATAGTTGAATACAGAAAAGATATGAGTGAAAAACACGGTGGTTTGAAACATCCTCTTCCCTTTCCTCTGTATCCTGAGCTGAAAACCTATCAGAACTAGTAAAGGCATTCACTTTCATATGTGATGCCTTGAGCTCTGAGCTCTCTTCTGAAGGAACAAAGGTGAGCTACATTAGATAGTGCTCTACTCCTCCTTCTCACACCTAAATCTTACCCTTTTGCCAACTGCAAAAGCACATTTAGGGTCTTCCCTGTTTCACAGGGAATTTCTATTGAATCTCAGTACCTGCAAAAGATGGAGGCTACAGCACAATTCCTTCTCTGGAATTTCTTAAATGAAAAATAGTCAGCAGGCATTTACATCCAAATATGGGGACAGGGTTTGAGAACGGTAACTTTATCAAGTGAATCCAAGCACAAACAGCATTCAGTGTGACAGGTTGTTCCTTTCTGCTGTATTTGGACAACCTTTCATGTTAGACTGCATTTCTTGAACATAGAAGGAAATCAGCAGGTCTACTCAGCATCAGTCCCCACCTCATTCATTACATGTTCTCTCATTCTCAGTCTTTCTTCTTCCATTTCAACCATGTCATCCTCTTCATTTTTGGGATCATAAACTTTTTCTAGCTGAAATTCAAAATTGGCAAATGTTAGTTTGGAGAAAGGGCTGCTTATTCAAATAACAGAGCGTATTTGGAACAGTAGCCCGAGATGTTGCTAAAAACATGAGTTCACCATTTTTCCAGTAGAGTTGGAGTACATGTGTGTAATTCTCTTTTAGCATAGTATTTAAGCAACAAGTGAGCCTTTTATTGCAAAGAATGAAGTTTTCAGTTAATTCATGTGGTCTGCTGTAATTCGATGCTGTGGACATTACAGTAAAATTGACCTCGGCATGCACAGTCTGATTTTACATTTGATTCAAAGCAGGCAGAGTTTCCACGTGGTTTCTGGAACGGGAGAGAGTAGCTTTTTTACCAGAGCATGCAGCTGACTCTGTAAGTGTTCGGGATATCACAAGACAAATTGAGTGTGTAATTTAATCGTCCACTTCTCTTCTTGCACAATGTCTTTTGGTGAGTTTATGCTTATTTGCTTCTACTTAGCTTTCTTAGTCATTTAGCTTCACTTGCTTAGCCATAGGTGATTTTAAGGCCCGAGACTATTTGCTTTTAAACTATAAAGCTGCAAAATGGTGGGACATATCTATCAAAAAGACTGCCACACATCTTTAGTGTATTAGAGGAAATTATGACAAAGTATTGCTAGAAATCTGCATGTGCAAATTTAATTTCTTCAAAAATGTACAGTAGTTTGAATTTATAAGCTTCTATATACACTGTATAGAACATTTCCTCCCTTACTCATGAAATCTAGAAAAAATTGTAAGACTAGGTATTGACAGCCATAGTACTGGATCTCTGAATGGCAAGTTTAGTTTCTGCTATACCAAAACAGAACCTACTGGAAAAATTAAGACCAAGGCTCTCTGTTTACTCATTGATTCTGCAATTCCCATCAATGTAGAATTTCAGTACATTGCTATCATTACCCCTCTGGGAAGCAAAGTGCTACTAATATTTGTGTTTTCACAGACAATGAACCAAGGCTTAAAGAAATTAAGAGCCTGTCTACTTTATCAGATGTACATGTGTTCCAAATTGGCTAGATATAAAATATGTGAAATTTCTGTAGTAATTGCCACACCATGCTGTCTTTGAGCCAATTCGCATGAGTGTGACTGTTTTTCTCTCAACAAGTCTTATGACTTGGTGATTAGTACTGAATGAGCACAGCTACCCAGCTTCAGAACCTCCACCAGGCTGCATCTAGCCAGAGCAGGAGTGCAGCTCTCTGCATTGCAATTTATACAGGGATAGCTGTCCTGCAGATTAATTATAAAATTGTAAACAAGCCTCTGTCAGAGAAATACACAGAGAAATGAGCACTAGATCTCTGGTGTCTGAGTCCTATGCTTCAACTACTTTATTATCCCCGCTGATGTGCTTTTACACTTCTACAGAAACACGAAGGATGCACAAAACTTGGCATAAATACTCTAATTTGTAGTCCAAAGCTCTTGAATATACTTGGAATAATACAGACATCCCTGCAACCATTTACTGAAACAAGTTTCTGAACTTCTTTTTTTACCTCTTTAGTAAATAGGGCTTCTAATTCTTGTTCGTCAAGGAAACCATCATTATTGACATCTATAAAAAGAAGAGTTGAAAATACGAGTATGTACAGAAAGTAATACATGTAATAGTTCTCCATGAGTTAAGTGAATATCAGCATACACATCTCATCTGGATCAAAAACTTCATGTAACAAGACGCTTGCTACATAGCTCATTTTTTCTTAGGTTTTTTATCAGGCATTGGCTGAACGGTATTGCCATTTTTTTGGTGGGTTGGTTAGACAAGTCTGGAGCAATCTCCCTACTTCTTAGATTAGCAAACTGAAATAGGTCACAACAGGATTGCACAGAGTGCAAACACCAAAAAATATTACTGAGAACAAGTTGTCCTAATTTAACAACTAAATTTCTAAATAGATTCAGGAGCAACAAAAATCGGTTAAAAAAAACTTCGTTAATGCTCCAAAAACCCTAAATAATTATGTGAAAATCTATATAAATATGTAGCACTTGAGTAGAGATCACTGTAAAATGACTTTTCATGGCAAATGCAGAGAGGAGAATACTTGATAACTAACAATCCATCTTTTATCCTACATTCTACTCTCAATATTGTTATACTACCTCTGAAACTGAAAGAGAATGTCTACTTCAAATGAGTGTTATTATGCAATATTTTTTGTTTAATCGCTTCAAAATTTTTTTTTACCTACTAAGCTCTAAGGTGAAAGGTTATTTCAGGTATTTCTATTTTGGTAAGATTTGCACAAAAAAGCTTAAAAATAAATTCAGAAAATTATCTTTCAAGATCTCTTTCTAAAAAGAAGAAATAAGGTTTAATTACTATAATACATATTTATGTATTTTATAAACCAAGAGAAAAGTTCAGACTCAAGCTGGAACACTTTCCTTCAGTTAAATTATTGTATTTGGGATTAGTCAAATACTATGTACTGTTCAACCTTTCACAGCCCAGCGTCAGGCAGCATCTGCTTAAGTATTATGAAGCATTTAACAATGTCAGAATATAAGGTTACACATTCATATAATCACATTTAAAGCAAAATACCCACTGAGATGAATCCTCACCTCTGCTACTATTTTATTGTTTCTAGCTGCGCATTGCTCAGAAATATAGAGGCAGGATTGGGGGGCATTTTGTTTTTTGTTTTATTAAGGGAATCTTGCAACTTCTGAAGAGGCACGGCACTTCTATGACCATTCCAAAGATAAGGGGTGCCTGGCACTTATCTGCAGAGATGATGAGAAAGCAGGTTTTCTCATACACACCTCTGAGGATTTATTCCTAGTATGTAGTGTAAGCAAAGTTAAGAGACACAGAAAGCCCTCTAAGTAGCCATACTTCCCTGAGAAATCACTACTGGTTATTGGCTGTATCATTTTATGAGTAGTTAAAACAAAATCCTGTTTTCAACTTTTAAGCCCCATTTAAAACTTTGCAGTAAACTACAAACAATAACATAAATATTTTCTCCTTTACACTCTTCAGATACATGCAAATTGCTTGAGGTATAAGACTTCATCCTAGCATAAGACAAACTTGCCCTCAGCAGAAGGTAACAGAAAGTCACTTCACTTGTTCATTAAATTAAACTAAACCTCTTACCGTGTAATTTGAAAAATGTTTTGGGGTCAAATTCATTAGGATCTAGTCCATCTGCTTCTTCCCACACCTCTTTCAGTTGATCTTTGCTTCCCTATAGATTGGTTACAAAGAAAAACTATTCAAAAGATGATTAAGTGTAATTTTTCTGTGTTAGCTTTGCATTATAGTTTCTCTGAAAGGCTTTATTTTCTGTCATGCTGCAAATGGAATCAATAGAATTTTCTTGAATTCCCTTCTGGTCAGGTCTAATGCTTTCAATAGATAGGAAGGGAAAGGGAAAGAGGGAGTGTTAAGGAAAGGCATATTCTGTGGAAAGGAACACCTGTAACAATCAGTCATGGCCACCCAGACTCAACTAGAAATGAATAGCTGAAGGGACTTAAATTAGTTTGCCTTTTCTAGAGCAAATGGTACTGTGATGCAGTTCCTTGCAGGCCAGGCATACTATGAAGGCATCCCAACAGTTTTGAATATCATTCTGGCTTCTTCCTCCTGAATTTTAGCTTCTTTGTAAATAATAATTCTGCCAGCAACTAGCATACTTGTACAGAAAAAATGGGGGTATATATAGCGGGTTTTGTAATGCTCTCAGCATTGTTCCCACACTCTGCTCCCATGTTGATGAGAAGAGGTAAATGCTGAGAACAAACAAGATACACCCTTGTCTTTATTAGCTTTTTCTCTCTGGAAAGGAAAGCTTCCGCCCAATCATGTAAGAACAGACTATGGCCTTACAGGATGGTGAACTTTAGGGTGATCTCCATGTTTTTTCTTCATCTCCTCAAATTTGGATTCTTCTCGCTGCCTCTTTTCTTCATCCAGTGTTTTCAAATACTCTCTCCTCTCATGTTCTTTCATCATCTCATATTTCTTAAACTCCTCATGGCGGGTCTTATCATAGTTTTCCAGGTCACTTGTAGCCTAAAAATATAGATATATGTAGACGCATGATTATGCTACATGATCATGTTAACACATATGACATTAAAAAAAGTGTATTGTTCAGAGCTGTGGGCAAGGCTGGCCATATCGCCATTCTCCTTTTAAACATCAGGTAGACTAGCTGGGAGTTTCCTTTCACGTGACAGTGATGCAGAAACATCTGCATGCAGGGTTTAACTGCTAGACAATTTTTGCAACTGCACAGTACTGTAAGAAGGCATCAAGGTGTCCTTTTTCGTCAATTAAAAATAAATTAACTCATTAAGTAAGTCCCATACCAATTAAGCACAGCTTCAGATAGGACCATTAACTCCTTGATTATTCCAGAATACGAACGTTTGTAGCTTATCCTACAGTTTAATGAAAAAAATGCCTTCATTAATAACGGGAGTTAGTTTGCAGTAGCTTAATACAGATTAAATAAAAAACTCCAATTATATGGAGAGAAAGGGTATGAGGGGAGAATTTCTTCCAAGTACTTGGATAGAGTTTAGAGATGTATCATTTTCAGACAGCTCAAGGTATTACAGGATGTTTTGGTAGTGCTTTTCAAAGTAACATGTTTATATGTCTCTCCCATTATTTACATTTTAGTTTTCAGATTCACTGTACCTTTTCAAAAACAATTCCAAAGCAAAGACCCCCTCAAATGCCCATTACACTCTGTCAATATCTCAGCTGAGAAATGAGAAGACAAAAAAAATGTACTAAGAACTGCCCCATTGAGGATATGCTTCTCCTAGCGAACCAGAATTTTCCCAGAAATGATGCTCAGAAATGGCTTTATAATAGCCTTATAAAAAAAAATTTTACAGAAAATTGAGATAAATTTTTCCAAGGGTAAAAAAAAATCCACAAAAATTACAGAAAGCTTAAAATATACCTTATCTTTTACTTTGTTTTGAAAATATAAACACTGTCAAATTCTCCTATCAGACATGTAGCGCTCTCTACAGCATATCTGAGATTAAAGTCTTTTTTCCCCTTGGAAAGCGTATTTTTTCCAGTAGTTGAAAAAAGCCATGCCATGCCTAGCTTACAGCATCCCTTTAACGGACATACACTGAACCTCCCCCACACCTGTGACTGATACTGAATCTGCTAAATAGACATTGAATGCCATGCCCAGTATATGCAATTTCTAATACCAGTATCTTGAATTCTACTCTGCTGTGGCTTTGCAGCTTGACACATATATAATAGATCCCAAAATTCAAACGGCTAGTTTAGGGGTGATTATGTCATTCTGTGAGACACCTAAATCATTTAGAAATAGCAATCAGAAAACACACTTGGGAAAAATGTACCCCCACCAAAACTGTATTTAATTTAAAGGCTCCCAGAAAGGTGTATTTTATTTCTGAAGTTGTTTGTACTGGCACATGAATGCAAGTCCCCAAAATTTATGGGCTCTTGAGCATAATGCACATTAACAGTTTTCAAGTGTGCAATGGGGACAACTGATTTTTCTCTGAAAATGAAAACTGCATGTAAATTATAAAAAAAAGGTATATATAAAAGGATTTGCCTCTACGAGAGAAAAAAAGCATAATAATTAATACCCCCCCCCCAGAATAGCAGTCTATATCTAGCACTCACTGCTTTGATCAACATATCTAAGTCTTTAGGTTCGAACGTGTCAGGATTCTGATGGTTCAGGTGCTCAAACTGTTTAAGGAGAGCCTGATGGTCTATGCCAGTGTCTGAAAGAACAAGGTACAAATATAAAACATTAAAATAAATTTGAAATCAACCGAGATTAGGAAGTTAAAAACTTTCATATGGGAGCTTGTGCCTTATAAGTACCTGAGGCTTCCTGAGGCCTGGATAATTTTTTTCACTTTTAGAGGAAACTATAGCAACACGTCTAAAGTTGCTTCTCCTGAAGGAGATCAGCGAAGTTGATAGCCATTTGCATTATATTCCTTCTGATGTGTCAGTGTTGCATTGCACACAATAAATTAACATGCACAAATTAAGGCTTGTGTTTCAGCAAGGAAAAGTACAATCAATTTGAGCTTCACAAACTAAGAAAAACATTTTATTCGTTTATATTAAACGAGATACTGCACATAACTTCAACTATCAAAGCTAACAACTTGCATCTTTTTCCTGAACTGCGAGAAGACTGACTCTTCTATTGCCTCGTACGTTTTGCAAATGACTTGTATCATCTGGCCAAAGATGTATGTACAACATAGTGTAAAATTATATCAAATCAGATAAGCAGATAATCAAATTTCATCTGTGCAAAACAAGACGTTCAGGACAGTGGAGAGTCAGGTCCTGTGTCTAAAAGCTGCAAACATTTCTCTCTTCCTTATGACAGGAATGATACCCAACAATATCAATATGCAATGCACTAACAACAAAACACATTTCTACAACAGGCTTTTCTAGCTGTTACCATGGTTTCTGACTGCTAATGCTAGATAATAATGCTATCTTAAGCAGCACACACTTGATTTTTTACGTATAACAATTTTGACAAGCTTTTACTAGATGGCTTAGCAAAGAATATTTTATTTGTTTAAAAAAAAATTGAAAACACAATTTTGAACATGCTATTCTTCAGCAAACTGTCTTACACTCAATGCTGTGTTTGTATTATCACAAACCAGCAAACACTGGCTGGGGCAGATTTCAACCATCATTCCTCCCTGGTGAGATCATAATTTCTGTTGAAATATATGCGCCTTAGCCTGGTTTTTAAACATTTTTAGAAGTGTAATAATATGCTTAAAAAACCAAACCAACCAACCAACCAAAAAACCCAAAACAAACAACAACAAAAAAAGCCCCCAAACCTGTTTTCCTCCATTTCTTAGGAATTTATAGGAAAGATTTATAGGAAAAGACTCATTCTATTTGACAGTATTTACTTGCCACATTACTGTATTAACTGAGGCCCAGCCCCTAACATTCTTCTGTCCTGTACTGATCAGTCTAGTAGGATCTTGGTGAAAATGTTTAAAAACACATCTTGATCAGCACTGAATATATGCAGATTATAATCTCAAATCTGGTGGGTTTTTTTAAACCTGTTCTAAGAAGGAAGAAAACAGAGTGTTTTGTGTGCTTTTTTTTTTCTTTTTTTAGATCAGATGGAAGAATAAGATATTAAGTGGTGTTACAGGGAAAAGATTAACAGAACAAATAAAAGGAAATCACATCTCTGCCTGCTGTTACTATAGAATGCTCTTTTGTACATGTTCCAAGATGTTGCCTAGGTGTACAGATGCAGCTGTATTTTACAGATGATCTGTCCATGCTTCTTGTCCTTGAAGTACTCACTGGTAGGGCTGATTATAAACTTTAAAAATGTTTTCCCACTCCTGATGTTTTCACATCTTAGTAGTCATCTGAATATTTTGAACTGAAATCATCTGTTCTTGTTCTTTCCCAAATGTAGGATCTCACACTTACACTGTACGAGATCTGACCTGGTGGGGGAAATTATTTTTCTGAAGCACGCTCTGTCAGTTACTCTTGATTTATGGAAGTAGAGAGGGCTAGAAGTAATCAGTCCATTAAACTATTAAAAAAATTTAAAATACACAGAGTTACTATGTATACAATCAGGTATTGTTAGCTGCTGTCAACTAGCTCACTGTGAGCGTCACCATGATGTCATTGGACTGCTTGCCTGCAATAGAAGCACGAGACTGGGCTCTTGGCAGCTAGAGCCACCTGAGGAAGATGAACATGGGGTCTGGCAGGTATGTGAGGCAATGCACTGACTCCTGTGGAGGGGCTACCACTGGTCTGCACTGTCTAGCTGCCAGTGGACTGTACTCGCTGAACTAGAACTTTCATTAAAAGAAAGCAAAGGACAAAAAGGTGAGCTGATGCCCTCAGCCAACTCTGTATTATTATTCATTAATTATGCTATGGTAGCAGCTAAAGACTTAATTGGAAAGGTACTACAATGGAAATATATTTTTTGCCAAATTAAACTGATGCTTTCCTGACCCTAGTAACATCCCCATAAACACATATTTGCACATGCATGCTTCTTCCGTCTACTTGTCACCTCTAAATTCAGCTTAGCCTAGAAGACAGATCCTTGTCCTTGGAGTATTTTAAATTGCCACATTACCTATTCAATTCAGTGAATTCCCTCCCTATAACTTGCAAAAGTTTTTAATAATAAAATAATCTGCATAGGCAAATTAAGCCTTTTTTATTAGAGCTTTTTTGTGAAAAACAGCATTTCAGAAACAAGATTGTGCAGTACATCTTTAGGATCTTTGTTTATGAGCAACTAATTGTCTTCAAAAAGAAACCACTAATAAGTTTACAGAATTAGTTCTAAATGCAAACTTTAAAAATTCTTCAGTAATAAGAAACAAAAAGGGATAGCACCATTTGGTACACAAACATACAGCAATCAGAATAATTAGAAACCTGTATACTTTATTAATCAAAAGAAATTGCCTGAGTTTGTATGATTTCATTAGCAATTAAGAAAATGCTACGGATAATTTTTTTCACTCCAAATGTTTTTCTTTATTCAGGAGCTTACAACTGACCCAAAAATAAGAAAAAATAATCTTCTACATTGAAATGTTTAATATTTGTGTGTTGGTTTTGCGTGGCAAGGT